CAAATTTCAATTATATCAACACAACCCCCCCCCCCCCCCGAAATCTGGGAAGAAAAAAATCTACAATTGAAATCGCCCTTCCCGAAGTCATTTCAGCAAATCTGCCAAGATTTGAGTATTCATCTTCCAAACCAATGGAATCGATTGGACGTTAATTTTTTATTTTCCACATCGATGGCACTGGCGCTCAAAGCACAACGAAAACAAAAGAAATCGTCCACCACCGACGAAAATCACCCACGATCTCGATGCTACAGGTAAAACAGTCTCTCTCTCTCTCTCTCTTTCGTTCTCGCTCAATAATTAAATGATAAATTTGACCATACGAGAAAAGATGGTCACACTAGGTGATTTAAAAGGTGTTTCAAAAGGCACGCACAATTTTTTCCAACATCATCCCAATTTATTACACTCACATTAACATTAACAAAATATCAGCGCGTTCAAATCGTGAAGTCCCACAACAAAAAATGTTTATTTTTCAATTTCTCATTTCATTTTCACAGAAAATGTTTTGAATATGAGGCAGTCGCGTGATAAGGCCCGTCTATCAGCTTGATATGCGGTGCCAAAAGAAATGTAGTATGATTTCGGTTTTTCTGTGATAATGCGCAATGACATTTTTCTTCTATGAAGCAAACTGTTTGCCAAATAGGGCAATCGCACGATAAGGCCGTTTTATTGGGTTGTTATAGTGTACCAAACAGTTCGTGCCATGATTAATGTTTTCTCTGATAAAAGTTTTATTTCAGCGGCCGGAAATGCCAGTAGATTCACCAATCATTTTTTTCATACATTGTATATACTATTATGTCAACACTTTCCAATATATATAAAATGCATCACTTTCAGTGCAGAAATTTTGGCCTTTTATACACCAGAGGCTAAAGGGATAGCATAACCGAAGGGCTTGCGACGAACAAATATATATGAAATATTTTCAAATATATTCAAATATGCCAAATATTTCAAATATTGAAATATTATTTGTTCACAAATTGCATATTGATTCGTATAATTGACATATTTGGCTATATTTCAAATATTTCGTATATTTAAAAATTTGGAGGAATATTTCAAACAGAAATTGTCAAAATAAAATCGGATAACACCAAAAAACCGTCAAAAATGTAGCTGAATATGCCTCAAATATATCAAATATTACAAATATTTGAAATATAACGAAATATGATTGAAATAAAGAAATATATGGGAATATTGCCATATTTCAGTCGTCGCAAGCCCTTCGAGCATAACACTGTTTACAAAACGGAATTCGTTGAAAACCTATACATGGAAGGACTTTCTAGACCAGTAAAAGTCATTTCTTTCATTCTAACTATTCCATCAATATTGAATATCAAACGTTTCTCAACAAAACGAAATGGTTTTTTTTTCTCTGTGTTTCAAAATGAATAAAAACTTGTATATGACCTCGGCCAATTCTACATTTATTCTCTTTCACATTATTTTTTCGAAAGACAGAGAGAAAGTTGTGTATTATGCTTGAAAAGACAGCAGTTATTGAATAATTGGATATCATTTTCATGCGATTTATCCATAGTAAAACCAAATTCGCCGTTATTCAAAGTCCATTCATGGAATGAAACCGGTATGTGTCTCGCTAAAAATAGGGTTTGTATCACGACTAACCTTTTTTAGTGAGACCATAGCTCCAACATTTTCACTGCCTGAAGTCAACGAAAGCTTTAATATTTTCTGTGGATGGCTCGCCTCTCAAAAATGATGGAAATAAAACTCTCGTAAAACTTGTTAAAAATCATATTTTATTCATTGTGAAACGATAAAAAATGACAAACAACAACCGAATTCAAGGTGTGTGTTCGTGTTCTTTACTTCTTTTTCTTTTTCTCTTTCTTGGCGAGATCGAGTCCGGTGATGAATTTCGGTGGAATTTTATACGTTTCAGTGAGCATTTTATGTACAAATCGAACTAGATTACCTTGCAGCATCAGCTAGCCTTTGTTGGCGTAACATTTACATCACTCAAATATATTTTAATTTTCGTTTCAGTAGTGTAGTAATGTATGTTCTGGCACAGGGTCATTGACCCCGTGCCAGATGATTATATTCAATTAATTGTAGTCACAACAATAATTAATTGTAGTCACAACAATTGTCCGACTTCTTTTCCGATTTATCGAACAAATTATTGAAGACAAAACACAATTTTCAATTTAGTTCTCAGTTATTTCGTGTACGACTGGCAATAGAAGACTGGGAAAACGATGAAGACAACATGCGATCGAGAATGTATCAACGATTAGATGATAACGAGCAAGACGCAAGACGGAAAAGACCAATCTGCTCTATCTGTCTATATGATCTCCGCAACGATTCATTCGAAATTATGGTCACAGAATGTGGTCATTCGATCCATCAATCTTGTTTGTTACGTTGGTTCAACGATCCGCACAATGACCCACACCGTATACATCGATGCCCGGTCTGTAGAAACACCATAACATTTGGAGAATGTCGTCGATCGTTTTTAAGTTTCGAGTGAGATTCACACCGTCACAACTCGACCACATTCGGAAATTTACATTGATTTTTCCTCAATTTCGAGCAAATCAACCGATTTTTTGTGAAACACCTAAATAAACAATAAATCTAGCAATAAATGACTAGAAGCAAAAAAAATCCAAACATTTTTCTGTTAGCATTTGTTATAGTTTTGTACTGCTGTGAAGATTCTTTTTCGGAATTTTATTCTCTTCAATATTTTTTCATAAAGAGCTTCTCTTTTTTGGAAAAAAAAATTTGATTTTTTTTCAGGTGTTCTTGTTCTGAGTTTTAAAGGTTTGTACATCGATTTTCAAAATCTCTTTTTGGAATTTCACTTATTTTTTTTACTTTGGAAGACCGAATATTGGGAGGAAAACAGATTAATTTCCAGAAGTTTTTATCAACTTTTTGATAGATTTTTTGATCTCTCTTTTTTCGGAGTTTATTTTTTCTTCAATATTTTTTTCATAAAGAGCTTCTCTTTTAGAGAGAAAAAATGGATTTTTTTTTCAAATGTTTTTTTTTGAGTTGGTACATCGATTTTCAAATCTTTTTTTGGAATTTCGCTTATTTTTTCTTTAAAAGACCTGATGACAAGAGGAAAAAAGATTAATTTTCGAATGTTTTTTCAACTTTTGAGAGAACTTTCTGAAAGAAAAGACTGAGTTTTTTATTTAAAAAAAAAATGAAGTTGATTTTATTCAAAAACTTAAAATCTAATTGACAAAACCATATTTTTTTAGAAATCGAACTTAAAATTCTAACAATTTTGTGATTTTCATTCATTCATTGTTCGGTTGATATTTCTGTTTCTATTGATGCTGGTCTTGCTTCTGTTGTTGAAGTTGTTGTGGGAACATCTGTTGTGCCAAGTATTCAACATCATGAAAATCGAGAATCAACCGATTCTTGCGGGTCGCATCCTTCCCTCCATAGATCATGATTTTCGGAGACGAATTCAATTCGATGAGAGCAGCTTCATCTAAAGTGATGTTGAACCGTGGTGGCAAATACATATAATGCAAATCCAATTGGATTCGTACACGTCTTCCATGCTTCGTTTCCACTGCAACAAATTCATGCACAATGTATTCCCCAATCGGTAGCTCATCGAAGTTTTTGTACGACTTGTTCATACAAGCAGCTCTCAGCTTATCCAACGCGTTCATTTTGCGATTCTGATTTTTTCTCAATTCTTATTTTTCAAAGTTTCTTCGGGGAGGATGCTCCTTGCCTGCTTGTCGGGCTGCTCCTTTCTTCTTCCTCGATCGTCTTCAAATTGAAACTGATGAATTCTCACATTCATGATCGCTCTTTTATACAAAAATCATCGCTCCCCCCACTTCTTCAAATTTGTTGCAGTTTCATATTTTTCGTAGCATTTTTTATGTTTTGATTGCAGTTCAATGACATCATTTAGACGAAACAATTAATAAAATTTTATGACCTCTGTCAGCAAGTCAGCATTCTTGGAATCAAATTGTTTCAGAGGTTATTGATATCACATAGACAAAACAATCATTAAATTTACAGCATATCGCTTTTGTTTATCCATGAATTATGTTCATCGTTGAATCCAATCCATTTCACATATAATTTATCCCCCTTTTCTCGTATTATTTTCTCTACCAAGTACAATTCTGAATTTTCAGCTTTTCTGAGCTCTTCAACATAAAACGAACCTTTAATCTCATCGCCATCCAAATCGTTTAGTAAATAAGTTGTCGGAATGGTGTTCTGAATTCGATGAACTCTGAACACTTCAGTAGTCCAATTGGGGGTATACCCCTTTTCGAATACATGTTTGTACTTGCTGATTCGCACTAAGTCACCTAGTTTAAACTTTTGTCTTTTCACTACATTGTTTGTCAAAATGGGGCTATAAATTGTTTTTGATAGATAGCGTTCATTGCTTTCATTCACATCATTAGGTTTCATCCCGATGGTGTGATGCTTTGTGTTATTGTAGTCAGCGATCAAATTTTGAAGAATGTCTATCCATTTGTAGGATCCACGATAGCTAAACTCTTTCCACATTTTATTTTTCAGTGTTCTATTAAATCTTTCAACAATTGCCGCTTTCATTCTACTATATGTTGAGTATAACTTAATTTTTCGTTCATCTAACATTCTTCTCATTGTTGAGTTGTAGAATTCCTTTCCCATATCTACATGTAAATTATGAATGGGGTGATCAATGGAATTTAAAATGGACTCCATGGCATTCGTTACTTCTAATGCTGTCTTATTTTTTAATGCTCTAGCGTAGGCTTTTTTTGAGAATATATTTATGACAGTTAAAGTATATTTCATGTTTTTATTTTTTGATGCATACGGAATCATTTCAACCAAATCTGCTTGCAAGGTATCATCGATTCCCATCATAAGTGTACGCCTACGCGCAAAGTTCCGCCTAGCTTCACGATGTAGTTCGTTTACAAGATCTCGTTTACTCATTATTTTCTTTTAGCTTAAATAACACGATGAACCATACTCGAGAAAGGTGAATATTCGACTAAATTGTCGTGAATTATTAAACAATAGGCTGCTGTGTTATTTGGTATGATCTGTTGGGTCTCTATTTCAAGTCGAACATCAACCATACCCATTTTCATACTTTCATCCGTTCTACTACAATCAAACACAAATATAGGTCGATTCGTAAAGAAGTTTTCCGGATCAACACCGAGTGGATTGTAGAAGGATACATCATTATAGTATTTTTGTTGAACACTTTGTAATGTATAAAATAACTCCTGATAGTGTGACAACCCAAAGTTCAAATGCATATCATCATAGGGGTAACGTTCGTTGTTTAAATATAGCTTCAAGTTTGAAATGTTGCAATGATCAAACAATGTTGAATCAACAGTAAGAATATTGTTACGATTTGTTTGGAAAGCAACAACAACAAATCTCGGCTTACTAACTTGAATCGTTGTTTTCACACTCCATGTATGACGTGTTGTTTCCGGTACAAGTGGTAATTCATATAAATCCCAAGACCGAAATGGTAAAAGTAGGCTATCCTTGTGAGAGATCATTTTATACATTCGCAATTTAGCTTTATCACTCATAAAGATATGTTGAATTTTCCAGTGAATTTTGGTTACACTTAGACGTAGAATGTCTTCAGCTGAGGTGTAAAAATTGTTATTTGAGCGGCTACGCACTAAAATTAACTCATGTTTACTGTTCATTATGATTTTTCTGAAATCATCACAGAATCCAAAAATGAATCTTAGTGGTAGAATAACTCGATAGCTTCCAGCTACAATATTTTGTTGACTATATTGATTAAAGAGAAGATAAGATTTTTCATCTTCAGATTTACATGCAATCATACACTTCAAAATGGATGTAATGCCCGGTGATTTACAACGATCAATTTCAATACCATTTAACTCATAACGCATTTCACTGAATAAGTGTGCGATGGAGTTGTATGCAAATACTGCTTCATTACGTACAAATGGTGTTCCATCATTTTTTGCGGTTGAAAATTCAATTAGAAGATAGCTTTCTGACGGTAAAACATTCAACTCATGTGATTGTATGGTAATGCGAATTTCATCATTATTGTTATATGATGTTGTATATGGAGTATACGTATGAAATTGTTGACTTATAATGTCGTCATCTTGAACGATTGGATTTTTAACTTCCAAGATTTTACTCGCCATTGTTGTATTATTCTACACTTTTTTCACTTTAAATCCTAAACTCTTTAAAAACGTAATATTTTTTTAAATTCAGACCACTCTTGTTAGATGTTTTCTTCTTCGCGTCTTCAAACGAAATGACATCCGATCCAGATGGGGGCGCACTTTTATACTCGCGTGGGTAATCGTGATAAATTAACATTTTTTTTTTGAGAGTTTTTGAGGAATATGTTTATTCAATCACAGTCAACAAATGAATAAGTCAAATGAACAACTTCTTCATTATTTATTTAAGTTCGCTTATGATTCTCTCCGTATATGTATACGACAAGTAATTTTTTCACCTCGAAAGTCCACTAATCGGCCATCTTGATCGACTATTGAAATGTTTAATTCATTTATACGACGTCTAATGACAGGTAAATAGATCAAATGTTTTGGTTGTTCATTAATTTTGTATCCAGGATCAACTGTAGGGCTAAATTCATATATTGTGTGAGTACTTCTACCGTTATGAAAAGACCCTGTTGTTAAATCACAATCAATTCGAATGCTATTTACACTCTGTATATTAGCAATTTTATCTGATGTATGAAACCCAAAAGCTGGAAGTTTACGATTGAACCCCAAAACTGATCCGATAGAGTTTGGTTGTGTAAAATCAATGAAAACGTCACTTTCAATTCTACATTTCATAGTATTTGCATTTGAATGCATACGAAACTGAATGCCCCTTCCGCGAAACTCTTCCTCTAATAATGCTCCTAACCTATTTAATTCATATGATCCAACTGGTACCTCAAGCACTTCATTGTCACCCTTTACCCCAACTTGATGATGAATCTTGTTGTTCCCATCATAAATATTAGGAATTGAGTTATATGTATAAAAATCCAGTAAGCTGCAAGAGTAGCTAAATCGATCATCCAATACAATTTCAGGGTGAAAACTTGAATGCAAGAGGGAGCTGTTGCCCGTGAGTGTTAATGTTATTGACATCATGACTGTCTCTAGAAAACTGATTTGGCATTCGATTTGTCATGTCTTTTTATCCCCATCCTCCCCCCTTCTTCTCAACGTAAATTGTATAAAAGCCTGATGCTATGCTTTAAAAATAATCATTTCTCTATCAATCATTCAAGAGTAAACATCTGAGGGAGATGAAAACGAATAAGAAAAGAGTTAAAAAAATAGTCAAACGTGGTGGTGGTATTATAGATAGAATTATTGATAAACTTCCATTTGAGTTGCATGTGCCAAATTATCAGTACTGTGGTCCAGGTACACATTTAGGAAAACGACTAGCTAGAGGAGATTCAGGCATAAATCCTTTGGATGCTGCATGTAAACTACACGATATCGAATATAGTAAACATAACAATTCTTCAGAACGTTCGATTGCCGACAAAAAACTTCAAAAAGAAGCAATGAAACGAGTTTTTTCAAAGGATGCATCATTATCTGAACGAGCCATAGCGTTAGGTGTGGCTGCTGCTATGAAAATCAAACGAAGTCTTACAAAAAGCGGCAAGGGGTTATCGAAATGTCGATTAAAGAAGAAGAAGATGAAAAAGCAGCATGTTGCTTTATCAACTTTGATTAAATCAGCTAGAGTAGCAATCAAGAAAAACAAACCAGATACGGTGGATTCAGCAATAAAAGTCGCTGTCGCTACGATCAAAAAGTCAAAAGGTGGAAAACGTGTGAAGACACCACGTACTATAAAATTACCCACGATCGTTGGTGGTGTTTTACCACTCATCCCGATCTTTGCTGGTCTAAGTGCGTTAGGAACAATTGCTGGAACTGCGGCAAGCATCACAAATGCAATCAATGTGGCAAAAAGGGGGCAAAAAGGGGGCAAAAAGAGTTAGAGGAAAACAAACGTCACAATAGAACGATGGAATCAATTGCGATTGGGGGTAAATCCGGAAAAGGTTTCTATCTGCGTTCGAACGCCAAAGGAAATGGATTTTACTTGCAGTCCTATACAAAAAACCATTAGATTCGCTGCCTAAGCGTGCATTAACTAATTTTGATCTAATAAAATACATCAAGTTGTTGAAAATCCCACATTTTCAAGGAGTCTATATGCGTGATAATCTTCCGCAAAGAACACCAAAAGAAGAAGAATGTATGATTATAAATCATGATTCAATGAAAAATCATGGAACGCATTGGACATGTTTTGTTAAAACAAACAAAAACGTATTTTACTTTGATTCATTTGGTAAATTAGCACCACCATTGGAGTTGATTAAGTACTTGGGTAGCGAATGTAGTATATTTTACAATTATGATCAATATCAAAAATTTAACACTGTGAATTGCGGGCATCTTTGTTTGAGTTTTTTGTATGCATATTATGAATAGTGAAAAAGTTATAGTATATTAGTAATAGTTTTTTCTCTTCATTTTGTTGCAGGAGTAGTATAAATAAAAGTAAATTTGTCTTTTTTGTTTCAGTTATAAACAAGATGCGTTTCACTAAACAAGCTATTACTATTGATATCCCAAATATGGATAAAGTTGTCTCAACTTTAAAGCCGAAATTGAGACGACACAGCCAACTATTACCTAACTCAATTAGGTGTATAATTGCTGGTCCATCAAACTGTGGGAAAACAAATTTACTGATAAGTTTAATCGAATCTGAAAATGGTTTGAAATTTGAAAATATTTACATTTATTCAAAAACCTTAGAACAAGATAAATATGGATATTTGAAAAAGATTCTGAAGCCTTTGAAGCATATAGGATTCTATACATTTGCAGCATCTGAAAAAGTAATTGCCCCCAATGAAGCTAGGAAAAATTCTATTTTTATCTTTGATGATGTGGTTTGTGATAGAAAGCAAGAAAATATTCGAAATTATTTCTGTTTAGGTAGACATAGAAATATTGATTGTTTTTATTTAACTCAGACGTACACTAGAATTAGTAAGCATCTCATCAGAGATAATTGTAATTTTTTGATACTATTCAAGCAAGACGATCTAAATTTGAAACATATTTACAACGATATGGGTGTTGCTTGTGACATGAAGTTTGAAGAATTCAAACGTTTCTGTTTAGAATGTTGGAAGGAGAGATTTGGATTTGTTGTAATTGATCTTGATAGTGACGTCAATGAAGGTCGTTATCGAAAAGGTTTTTCAAGTTATTTAGAAACTAATAAATAAGCAAATTAATGAATAAAATCATTCAGTCTAAATTTATCGCTCAATGTGAAGACAATGACTAGCAAAGAGAGAAAATTTAAATCTGCCTTAGTGCGAACACGCAGCATAATTGCAAATAAATTTCGAAAATTACGTCGAAATCAAGTTTTGCGTGAAAATGAATTGCATGAGAGATATGCACCCATAACAAACTCAATTAAACAATTGATTGACACAAAGGAATACATTTCAAACGAAAATACACTATTAGATCGTGAACATAAAATAGAAAAAGATGATGATTTGATGGAATTTGACAATGATGATCAAGAGAATGAAATAAAGTTTGAAGAAAATGTGAAAAATGAAGCAAAATCAGATGATTCAACCTCTGAACCTAAAAGTGATGAACAAGATGCAGTTATTAATAAAAATCGCAAGGATTATAAACGCATTGCAACGAGCAATGATCTTAACACTTTGGAGAAAGTACGGGAAAATGATCGTGTGAAAGCTATGGTTCAAAGGAAAAAACGTCGTTCTGAAGCTAGTGACTCTCTGCGCTATAATAACTTTGTAGATATCTCTGAACCTGAAAATGATGCAGCTATTATTCAAAAATGTAAGGTTGATAAAGGACGAATTTTCCAACCGCGTAATGTCGCAACGAGCAATGATCTTCACACTTTGAAGAAAATACGAGATGATGATCATGCAAAAACTAAAGCTCGAAGAAAAAAACATCGTTCTGAAGCTAGTGACTCTCTACGCTATAATAACTTTGTGGATATCTCTGAACCTGAAAATGACGCAGCTATTATTCAAAAATGTAAGGTTGATAAAGGACAAATTTTCCAACCGCGTAATGTCACAACGAGCAATGATCTTCACACTTTGAAGAAAATACGAGATGATGATCATGCAAAAACAAAAGCTCGAAGAAAAAAACATCGTTCTGAAGCTAGTGACACTATGCGCTTATCAAAATTTGTAAGCCTGAATCAATGCAAAAATGATTCATGTGAATATAAATCAAAAAAGAAACGGAAAATTCTCAGTCCGGAAGATTATGATTCTATGGGGAATTATCTTGGTTCTGTTAAACCGAAAAGGCGAAAGGTTGAACTTGTGAAGAGAGAAAAGAAAAAACTCAACAAGAAGAGTCGTAATGTTACAATAAGTCCTGATGATTTTGATGAGGAAGGATATTACAGAGGTATCGTTGCCCCCAAACGTCGAAAGATTGAAATTCCCATTGATAATTTACAAGTAGTTTCACGTTACAAAAAACGTGTTCACACAGGAAAATGTTTGGAAAATAAATTTATCCCATATGCAGAAAATACTAGATCGTTCAATAAGTCCATGGCCTGACTTACAAAAAGCAAAAACACTGCAAAATCTATACTATTTTTGGAAAGCTACATCTATTTCTAGTATCCTGACAAAATTTCAGCCAAATCTGATCACTAGTTTCCAAGATACAACACTTTGAATGAAGTTATTTTTCATTTTTTGAAAATCATGGAAAAACTGCAATTTTTTGTCAATTTGGTACTTCTGTTCTCAGAGCAAAATGAATAGAAACATCAAATCCCTATCAAAGTTAGTTTATAGTGTCCCAATACTATCGAAATAATCATTGGATATGGTTGAATTGGATTTATGCATAGCCCTATGGGCAATTTTGTCGATAAACCTCCAAAATGTTCAAAATATGTGGTTTCGGAAGAAATCATTACAAAAGTCACGAAGCGAAAGCGGAATGCTCAAATACGATAGAGCATAAATTTAATAAGGCCATAGGGCTACTAAGCTGGGTTATAGTTCCAACTCAGCATGGGTTTGTACTTATGAAAAACCCAATTGAAAATGCATTGCCGCGTTTTTGGCTATTGAGCAAAATAAACAATTTTTTAAGGATTCGAAGCCTTGTTTGGAACAGTAAAGCCCAAATTTAAACAGGTTTTTGCCTTGATATATTATAATTGATGTCTATTTAGTCCAATGTAATTGATACGGGTCAAAAATATTAGGTAGAAATCGACAGAGAGGGCTCAAAGTGACCATAGCCGCCAAATATAAGCTATATATACTTTGAGCCGTTTTTGTGGGAATAAGCATAGAATTATCATCATGAAACATTCGTACAAAGTTGAAAATGTCAGAAGAACAATATTAGCACCATTTTAGACCTATCTGAATGTAAAAACTTGATAAAAAGTAGCTTATTTGGCGAAGAGAAGTATGTTGTTCCAATGCGAGTTTCACACAGATTCTTGATCTGCTTATTTAGTGATAAAATTCAATGAAATATTCTACGAATCTCTTCACCAACCACTGTATTTTCAAAATCTGGTCTTTCTCAGACTTTTCATGTGCCCGGAACTTAATAAAAAACATCCAAAGAAAGATCACACCGATTAAACGTAAAAATAAGGCTAATTTTGGAGGTTTCCGTCCGAGTGGGTGCAACTCACAAACTGGATATCAGAATTGGCTGAAATTTTGTCAGTATACTAGAAATGGATATAGCTTTCCAAAAATAGTACAGATTTTGCAGTGTTTTTGCTTTTTGTAAGTCAGGCCATGGACTTATTGAACGATCTAGTATTGTTTATGAATATTATGATGACCCGAATGAATTGGTTGACCGTTTAAAATTGCTTGTGTCATCAAAAAATGCTGGAAATTCGAACCACGATCAAGAGATTAATTCTATAGTCGAAGAACTACGCGAACGTCACATCATCATGTAAAGAGAGAGTATAAAAGCGAGAAATTTTCACAGTAAACCATCAGTCTCATTTCAACTACGAACGAGTTCACAACAATGGAAAGCAAACAAGACGAAACGCCCCCGATGGAGTGGGGGGATATCCTTGACTTAGATGTAAACGATGGTCGAACATTTGAAATGATGGATATCGATGACGAAGATGAAGAAGAAGCAGACGAGTCTGTCAATTTCGTTTTCGTTGATATTCAGGGATTCAAAACTTATCGCGAACGATTCATCTGCAAAGAATTTTGTTTGACTTCTGTTGATGATTATTATCATGCAATCATCAAGTCACCGTATGCTTTCAAGAAGCTTCCATCGTTTTATCAACGACAGGCAAATTGGTTGACCAACAATTTCCACGGACTTACATATGATTGTGGTGATGTTCACATCATTGAAGTAATACAAAAAGTGTATCCAAAATTAATGGGGAAAGTCGTGGTTGTGAAAGGTGCTGAAAAGGTTAATTGGTTAAAGTATATATTTCGCAACTGTGGTGAAATTGAATGCATCAACTTTGAAGATCTTGGTTTGAATGAGAATCGTAAAAACCGCCACCCCTTGATGTGTGATTTTCATTTGGAGAAGACTATCACCAAAATCAACTCTGAACTCTACAAATACCATGGAAAGAGACAACCTTGGCCAGAATATCAATGTGCAAGAGCAATCGCATTGAAGCTAAAGGAAACAGTTGAACAATCAAAGTCGAATTAATTTTTTAGTTAATTACTTTGTCTAACTTTAAGAGAACCAAGAATAATGTATTCCTGACTGTAAGAAGGATAATAAACGAATATTCATTTTTTTTCTCAACTTAGAACATTTTATTTTTCTTTCTTATCACTATTATTTTACATTGGAATCAGATAATGCCCCCATGGTAAAGTTTCAACATTATCCTCTAATATAAATCTCTTATTATCTTCTCCACTAAGTGCTACTTTTTTCTGTCTAACACTAAATACAGTATGTTTCTTAGAGCGAAAAGTATTTTGTTCTCTCACAATCTTATTACATTTATCATTGATACAATCGATGTAATCCTGGAATTTGATATTTTTCTTCAGCACATATTTCTTAACACCTTTAGCTTTCTTCATTTTTTCAACACCATGGGTCAGCAATCCATACATCTTACTACCAAGACCTGCGTATTCAGTAGCAATTTCACCATTCAACTCATCCTTGAACATTCCAGGAACTTTTTTGTTCACACGTGGAATATTGTATGCATTGTTTTCTGGAAAGTCACTTGTGTCAAACTTGCTCAAATTATTTATCATATCAGCATAAAAATCGTCTGTATCCACTTCCAAGATGAATGAATCAGTGTCAGTGTAGAGCAGTTTAATATCATCACCATACTGTGCTCGCAAGTGGTTGTAAAAAAATTCATACATCAAAACTTTTGATATCTCCAAAATGGACATCCCAATTGCTATTGGTTTATCTAGGATCACATTTGTTTTGTCCATATGAATGGCGACTAAATCTGCATTGAAAATGGTGTACTTTTTGAAGTTTGGCATTGATACCAATTTTCGAGCACCATGTCTACCATTCCACTCACTTTTCAAACGAATATCTGATTTAGTTCGAACGTTTTCCATCGTTTTTCCATAGATCGCATTGATCATCAGTTTATAAAAATCTTTCTCAAATTCATTTGTTGCTTTCGTTCGTAATGCGGTATTCAAATTGATATATGGTTGAAGCCACTTTGACTGTTTGAATTCCAGCACTCTGTGAACTTTTTTTAAACGTAGACCTTGTTGAATTGCACCCTTCAACATCTTGTAATGAATGATGTAGTTTTTCTTATCAAACAATGTCAACATCAGTTTTTTTTCGGCCTTAGCTGTATTTGGCGCTGAACGACTCTCGGCGCAAAACGGATAGTCCTTGTGGCTATCATGAAGATGTTGTGGATATTGCAAATCTACTTCGAAGATATAGCCGACTTCAGAATCGTCTGACATGCTTAGGATCTCTTCAACAGTAAAACTCTTTTGACACCAAGCAAAATTGTTGATGGGTAAACTTTGCATCATAGCATAGCCATACAAATTGTTCGCATCCAAGTAAACTATATACTTCGATTGATTATTTGGATCATACTCCTCCATATACTTGTTGTTCGCCTTAGCATGACGCTTGCTGCACTGTGAAATACCTCCTCGAATTCCTTTTTCGATGAATAGCAACATATCAACATCTGTCATCAATTCAATCTCCACTTTTGTATATTTCAGCATTGAATCGAAGGTTAGACCCGGTGCGGTGTAATAGTGCGCTGGATCCAAACTGAAGTTTTCATAGCATGTCACTCGAAAGTTCTCGAATATATCAGCGAGGAGTAGAATATCAGTCTTCATGTAAAGATCTGAATATTCCCCCAATGTGTTCAGCTTGAAATCACTCCATATTTTGCATGCAAACTCATAGTCTTCAACAGATAATTCACATTCATTCAACTTGCTGTAGAACATTTCTTTGGATGGTAATGATGTTTCTTCCAGCTTCCCCCATTCATCAATGTAATCGTAGCAAAAAACACCTTTTCGTTTCAACATCTTTAGCCGCTCTTCATCCAAATCGTTGAATTGCGATTTAAGATTACTTTTCTTCTCGAACGGTAACGTTGAGGACAAGTAGTCCAATGACTTCGCCATGAATTGAAACGAATCGATGAATCGGAACTTGATGAATTCTCTGTAATCATTTGTGATGGTGCTTTGCATCGTCTTTGTGAATGACACGTAATTTTGCTCATTTCGCGGTATAATTGAGATATTACCAGGAACTTTTGTTGCAAGTGCGCTAATAATGAAATGAGCATCATAATGTGCAAGGTTGTGAAATATTACTGGAATGTAGCGAGGCACTTTGAATCCTAGATTACAACGAGAGTGAGCCGATCCTCGATATTTTCCAGTCAAGTGACAATGATCACGAACACGAATATCACCCATCATGTATGGTTCTTCACAAATGTGACATTCATCAGATACAATGAAGAATGCTTCATCTTCTAAGGACATGTTAAGTGGCATTTTATCATTCAGAATCTGCTCAACATCACTCGCGATATCCTGAAGATCTTGTATAAACCAATCAATACAGTTTGGACCACGATTACTACGATAAAATGATTTCGAATCATCATAATTACACTTGAAGTAATAACCAATTGCATAGGCTTCATGTTGTTGATATGCTTTCGTTGTTTCTTTTTGACAAAACTCCACTTCGGGCACTTTCAGCAATGATTCAAGATCAGCATAAATCACAAATGGCACTTTCATCTTATTGTTATAGTTTGCGAATTTCAATTCAGTCATCAACGGAACTTCAACTTGATAATCGTTTTGTTGAAAACAATTCTTTGTGTGTGCATTCAATCGTTCAGAGCAGGTGAAGTAATTCAAACAGCGATCGCAAAACAGTTTTTGTGTGCAGTTTTTCGATATCTGTCGACTTATCAATGCGCTCAAATTCTTAATCCAGCAGTAGTGCATTTTTCTTTCATCAACCGCTCCATCGAGATGATGCGCAACACTCTCTTCTTCTTCATCATCACCCGATGCATCGGTGAGCAACAACAAGTGGATATGATTCAATTTCACTGATTTGGTCAAACGTAATGGTCTCACAACAAGCGCCTTTTTGTCATACATGTAGACATTCACGGAGATGGTTGAATTATAACTCTCGAACTTTGAAATGTCTTTCAATTGCACAGGAAATTTGATGTCAGCGAAGTTCAACACGTTCTCATACTGCTTGTACTGTGAAACACGTTGAGCGTTTGAATCCGGTTTAAACAATGCTGACAAAATGGCATATTTAAAGCATTGATTGTCTTTATTTTGTACATTGATGATGGCCTTTTTCTTTTCAAGATGTTTTGGCAACTTGATGTATGAAGAACCACCGAACGGATCATAGCGACTAACTTGCACGTTCAATTCCGTGATTTCAGCAAGCCTGAACCCAGACCCAAGCAGCTGCATATCATCGATTTTCTGCTGCACAAAATCCACAACATTTGCAGTGTAGAAGGAGCTTAAGAATGTCTCAAAATCAATCATCTCAACTCTGGTGTGCAAGTAAAATTGTTGTGTTATCACTTGTGCACCTTCGCTAGTCATGATTTCCTTCTCAAACACCTCCATAAAACAGAAAGCAACTTTGACAATGTAGTGCTCTTCAAGCAATTTTTCAATTCGTTTCTCAAACAAAACGTATGCATCATCTAGGAATGATTTCACATCGATATGACCGTTATTTACAATTGAGAAAGTTTGCAATCGATTTTGGAAAGCAAAGTCTCGTTCTTCTAATTTGACCAATTCCATGATGACTTTTATGCTTGAATGTTCAACGAAAACTAGCGACTGTCGAGTGGAAAATATTCTCCTTATATAGCAACAAAATTCTAATTTTTTCGCAATTGTTGCATAAAAAATATTCGAAGCAATTTAGAGTTCATTAACTCTTACGCTATTGCATGCAACTAAATTGTTTTGGCTATTCATTCTTTTTATAATTTTCGCTCGATGTTCTATTGTTAATACGCGAGAAATTATTTTATCGGCTGCTTTGACTATCTTCTGAAATCTCTTTCGATCCAAATATTCTTCACACCAAGTTCCAATGCGTGCCTTATGATATGCATATTGCCTGACATACATTTTCAAAACACACACATTTGGGTTAAATGAAACTTTCAATCGATTGAAAGTGAAGCATCGCTTCTCCATTTTGACGAAGTGTTCTTGTTCAGTAATAACTGAGAACTAAATTGAAAATTGTATTTTGTCTTCAATAATTTGTTCGATAAATCGGAAAAGAAGTCAAAACGGACAATTGTTGTGACTACAATTAATTGAAAATGGTTATCTGACACACGATTGTTGTGACTATAATTAATTGCATGAACAATTGTTGTGACTACAATTAATTATTGTTGTGACTACAATTAATTGAATATAATCATCTGGCACGGGGTCAATGACCCTGTGCCAGAACATACATTACTACACTACTCGTTTCGAATGAGAATTTTCTTCCCATGTTGATTGAACATTCAAGAAACTACATACAATTTGTATTTTAAGGAAACAGGAAGATTGACGACGTATGTAGAAAACCTTCATTCATTGGCTTTTCTTCATTTATCTATTTTGTTTCAAGTGACGGCAAAATAAAATGTTATGTTCAATTGCAACGTATTAACTCGTTTAATTTCATTATTGAAAGTATTTAATCAACAAAGAAATTATTTTATTGTGTGTTTTCACTTGCATGTACAATGTACATTGTTAATTTGAAAAATATGCATCAGTGAACAGTCCATCAACATCATCTCCAAGATCTGAGTTGTTCCCGCAATGGTATTCAGGTAAATCAGACCTTACATAATTGTTATGACGATCTTTTCCTATCATTATAGCATTTCCATTTACTACATTGTAAGTGGAGTAGATTAAACAATAGCCGATCGGGCGATACATATCATTGGTTCGTATTGTTCCAACCACCGAAGTCGGGTACATTCTTGGATGATAGAAAAACTGGACAGCCCATTTGGCGTATCCCTGTGGATGGTCTTTGAGGAAATCCCTAATCTCTGTTTCGCTTGCTTTCCACATTCGACCATTATTGACAACAGAGGAATGGGGAAAAAAGTTTTGTAGAATGTTTGGTCCATCCAGGGAGTGTGCCACTATATGACCTACATAAAATCAATTCATGTTAAATCTATGATATAAACCAAAAAAAAATTAATATGAATATAAACCTCTTTGATCGCCCTGTCGGAAGCCCATTCGATCCAAATAAGCATCAAGCCCTTGTGGATATGTCAGACGGCGGTTTGGATTATATCGTGTAATGTGGGCTTTAAATTGAACAGGCAGGTCAATTATTCCTCCATCTAAATGCACGATTCTGCGAAAAACTCGTTCGCGTAGCGGTCCGATAGGCGTATCGTCCAAATATAAGCCATTTAAACGCTGTTGCGCTTTTTGAAGAATATTATCCATAATTGTTTTTGCGTTTCGATTCCCCAAGTTTACAGTAAAACTAGCCCGTTTCGAAATTGTTCTGTTAGTATCGTCATTGTCGCCAGTTAAATCAACATCAAACTAAAAAAAAAAACAAATTTATATGAATAGTATAGCGAGAAATTAGTTTATTTAATGAAACAAGCAGGTTTACCTGATTGGAAAGATGCGTTTCTTCGGCTTCGTGAATACCCGACTCGGAAATAACATTTTCGATTGGGAGGGAAATTAAAAACAACACCGAAAATATCTTCAACATTTCATTCGATGTTTTACTTTGTATTCGCGATGTGTTTTAAAAAAAAAACAGAAATGATCGTTTTATTTAATAAAAGAAAAGAGAGAATAGAACTTATCTTCCTTTCTCAATTTCCCAAGACTTGAGATGTGTGATGTGTGATGTGTAGACGTGTATGAATCAAATCAAACTGATGTATTCTGCTTCACATTGCCAGACTATTTATACCCATTGTTCTAAGCACGTTCATGAATAAATTGTGATAAGCGCAAGAATGTGTTGCGATTAGAACGAATTAATCTATATATCTATGGGTGAGATTGAGAGTAGTGTATGTTTCACTGACTTTGTTACGAAAGAGAAGAGTAAGTTTCTTCCGACTTAGAAATAGTTAAAGTAGAGTAAGTATTTTGACTGTTTGTGGTAATAATAAAGGCGAGTATGTTTCATAGACCTTAATTTGTGTTAAACAAGAGTATGTATTTTGTTAGTTTGGAATACCAATAGACAGGAGTATGTTTTTCTTACTTTGGTTGTTGAAAAAGTAGGGTATGTTTTCATAAATGGTTAAAAATATTAAGTTCTTTCGATGAAGAATAACAGGAGTCAATAAGTCTCAGCACAATGAAGTTATCCATGAATTCGCATAGAAATATACCTTATTATTGTAGAAGTAAAGAAAATATTGTCTGCATTTTAATTATTTAATTTGCATTAACAATTTTTGGAAAAGGCGCAAAATTTTCTTTTGCATCGGGGCGCAATTTGGTCTCGCGGAGGCACTGTTTCTATAGGTGAGATTGAGAGTAGAGTATGTTTTTTCGTTGATTTATATTTTTGAAAAGGCGAGTATGTTTTTTGATGGATCTATTGGCGGTAAAGTAGAGTATGTTGAAATGCCTTGGGTCGTTACGGTTTTCCCGGATTTCGCGGAAGTGATAAGAGATAACGGTTTGGTTTCTTCGGTAAAGTTATAGAAGGTCCTTTATAACATTGCTGAAGAAAGTTGTCTCTTATCTCTTGTCAGTTGCGCGCAAATCGCGTACATAAAAAAGCAAAATTCATATAGAACTTTTTTTTCTTATCATTTTTCGCGCTTTTCGCGAAACTGATAAGAGATAAGAGATATTTGTCTTCAGCATTGTTATAGTGGACCTCGAGTGCTACAACTTTGCCAAGTTGTTATCTCTTATCAGTTCCACGGAAACCGTGAAAAATGGCGAAGACCCGCCAAAAATGAACATACTCGCCTTTAACCATTTTTAAGTCGAAAGAAACTTACTCTTCTCTTTCATAACAAAGTCAGTGAAACATACACTACTCTCAATCTCACCTATAGATTTGTACTTCAAAGTCGCCTCGGGTGTTGTACGCCCCAGAAACAGTCGAAGTGTTAACGTTGTTTGGAGTTCAAATTTGAGCTCATTTTTGTATTTATTTATAAACTTTATCAGTCCACTGAACTCAAATGTATTTCAAATAAGATTGACATGCGGTCGTCGTGAAACAACAATAACAACATATTTTTGCAATGCTGTTGGGGTCAGTTGTGTGGACGTCGCTATTCATCGATTTCACGAATTTCCAGGAAAATCAAAACGAAATTTCAATATGCGGCTGACATACATAACTGTTATCATATATACATTGAACGCCTTGGCTAAACTCAAAATCACTTGAAAAACATTGTTTTTCTAAACTATTATCAGAAATCTGTCCGTTCATATACACTTAGTTGATGTTGTTATGTGAGTTGATTTGTCATTGCTTTTGTTGATATTGTTGTAACATTTTAGTCAAATAATCAACACAAAATTATGTAAAATGAACTGTTGGCTGCAAGTCCATTTTACACGACAAGTTCAGTTGACTAGACATGGTGAATGGTCGTTCAAACTGTTGAATCATCGTGAGCTACTCGTTTCAATGCTAGGATTTGATGCAAAACATCATTTGTCTGTTCTGGTGGATAGGTTCAACATAAAAATATCATAACTGCATTGGCACAATCATTGATCCATATTTTTAAATGATGCTTTCTTACATTCCCCACGGGATGTGCTGTGTTTCTTCACAATTGACTACCCAGACGATTTTAAGCCTACTTACCACATTGCACGTACATCGTATGTGAATAGAACATAATCGAAATTGCGAGGGAAATGCGATGTTCAGAATAAAGACGCTCACGCATGCTCGAGTTCATTCGATTTTGAACCAATTTTGATCGAACACAAACCTTTCCATTCATTTGATTGACTTGAATTATATTGACCATTACGCAGTTGGCAATTATCAAAGCAAAATGATATTTATGAATGCATTCAATTTGCGTCGTAATTTCACTGAAAAGAAGAAAATCTTCGACTTAAAACTATTATTATCATACTGAAAAAAGGAATTCTTATCATTGGAACATGTTGTGTACATAGCATGCGACGCCAAATACTCATTGTCGGGTCAAAAAATCTCATACTTGAACATATTTGTTTAGTTCGGCCATATGATAACGTCGAAAAAGTCTCTAGAACTTGACATGAAAATAGTCGAATGACATATTTGATAATTTACAAACCGGAGTAGTGTGCCGACTGAAAAATACATAGGCTAACTAATCTATTTCTACGCAAAAGTGTTGACATGGCTAGACTAATGGAAATTTGTCCCATTTCAATCATTAATAATAAAGATAATTTTATTCCGTCGGGTAGCGCAGTATTGATTTCTGAACTTGATTATGACGGCCAGTAAAAGTCAATTTTGAAATTTTAGCTATTCCATAAATATTGAGTATGGAACATTTCTTATCAATACCAAATGGGGTTTGTATCACGACTAAACTTTTTAGTAGGACCATAGCTCCAACATTTTCATTACATCAAGTCAACGAAAGCTTTAATATTTTCTGTAGATGGCGGTCTCTTCCTAAAACTACTCGAATGTGTAAAATAAAAGAGTTTGGAAACTTGTTTAAAATCATATTTTATTCATTGTGAAACGATAAAAAATGACAACAAAAATGCCCAAGAAATATGACATAAAAACGGGTAAAGGTGATAAGAAAGCTTTGTGTGGAAAAATTGTTTTTGTTTTAAATTATTCTGTATTGATTTAAGAAATGTGATGAATCCAATGTGGCAAACTACCGACACGTCTGTATAGCCAATTCAATTGCGATTGTTTTTTTTTCATTTATTCATTCATGGCAAATGTAGAATACATGTACGCCCTTATATCTATGTTATATCTAAAATACAGTATTTTGGTATTGAGTAATAATAACATTCATTTCTTTAGATTATTTTTTGATAGAAACTTTTTTGGCAGCTTATTCACTAAATCAGTCAGTTGCTTATCATATAGAATTTCTTTGACTTTCTTTTTAAATATTTTAATGTTTTTGGCTTTTCTAATTGGCGAAGATAAATTGTCAAATATAGAAATTCCATGATTTATAAAAGAGAGCATGCCCCATTTATTCCTATTTCTAATTTTATGCATTTTATTAGACTGTCTTGTTTCATGATTATGTATATTACTTTTAAAGTCAATATTGATATCACACTTTAGTTTTTTGTTTATAATTTTATAAAAATTTGTACTTAATTCCAGTTCAATGATTTTTTCAAAATCTAGAATATTATGCGCTCTATAAAGATCATTTGTTGAGATATTTCCTATTCTATATTTAGTTGTGCCGCTCCAAATAGTAAGAAGATATATAACATTTGAGTAGAAAAAAGCGTAATATAACATTTTTTCAACGTTGTCACTGCAAAAGAAAGAAATTCTTCTAAAAACGCCAACGTAAGGAGTCAATTTTATTATCAATGATGACACATGTCCGTTCCAGTTCACGCAATTCTTGTAGAGATTGTTGTTTATTTACGTGTATCGTTATATTTTCACCAGATGTTTTCGAAATTGTAAGTTTAGTTTCCGATACCAAGTTCTTCACATTCACCATCATAAATCGACCTTGGTACATGATTATATCTATATCAACAAACTCTTCATCGGAGATATATGCTTCTTTAATGTCGTTTATGTTGTGAATTTTACTCGGATTTTTTTTTACAATTTCCACTCCTCAATGTCATCATCGCCCTTTGGTATGTATGAAGAATGATCCAGTTCAGTTCGAAGTTTTTTATGTGATACGTTTCCTATGTTGAGCTCGATTGTCCCCTTGATGGTACCGTTTATTAATGTTATTTGAATGCCATGTATGGGCCTCGCCAAAAACAACAAGAGTATACATACGAATTTCATATTGAACAATGTGTGTCTCGGTACATATGATAGGATTTTTTTATATTCGAATGGTTGTGAATCACTGTGCATAAAGGCTAGCAAGTCTATTTACTGATAACGTTTCTTCTAATTAAATCATATAATTTTGTGGCTCTGCCAATTCATTTGTTCTCATTATTGTAATATTTATATGTCGACACTTTTTACATGCTGTTACGTTATCTATTTCGGTTTCTCTTTCTGATTGAGTATCTTGCACAAGTGCAGTACTTGTTTTCATGCTCTTTCACCGGATATTCCAACATTTTTGTTCAATTTTGAATTCAACGAATTTTTACCCAAGATAACATTTTAATCAGCAAATTGACTATTGGCCGAGGCCCGAGACTCCATTTTAAAAGAAAAGTTCATTTGATTATTCGACTAGACAAGGAGAATAAACATTCAAACAGCCGTGATAACATTTTATCTTTGCCATACAAATCGTGAGCTATTCGGTTCAATGCTACGATTTTATGCAGAAATGCGTACGTCTGTTCTGATGGATGAGTTCCCCATAAAAATATCATAACTACATAAGTAAAGTCATTGATCCATATATCCAAATAATGATTTCATTCATTCTCCACGGGATGTATCGTGTTTCTTTGCGTATGGCAAAGATGAAAATGATGCCGTGCGTTTAATTCCAGAGCGAGCGAGCGACAGAGAAAAAGAGAGAGAGAGAGAGCATGGAAATGAAAAAAGAGTGGTTGGTATTCCGCATCTTATGCTACTACCTCCATCAGACCGTTTAGAAAATAGAATGTGTGTAATAAGGCCATAATGTAATATTAAGCGACAAATATAAACATGTACATGACCACTTGTGAATATATACGTATAAAATGTTTTTCTATTGATTCACTGAAGCGTGCTACTCACTTTTTGCTTGCACTATCTC